AGAGATGGCTAGTGGCTAAGAGCACTGGCCACTCTTTCTGAGGATCCAGGTTCTATTCTCAGTGTCCACATGGTGGCTTGCAAACATCTGTAATTCCAGGAGAGGTCCAGGAGATCTGACACCGTCTGGCTTCCTTCAGCATCTGTCACATGGTGCACAGACATACACATAATCAAAATACCCCCACACATAAAATAATAAAGTAAGGAGGCTCAGCACTGGAGAGATAGCTCAGGGGTTCAGAGCACTGGTTACTCTTCCAAAGGACCCAGGTTCAATTCCCAGTACCCACATGGGGGCTCACAACTGTCTGTAACTCCAGTTCCAAGGGACCTGACACCCTCTTTTTAGCCTCTACAGACACTGCATGTACATGGTACACATACACACACACACACACACACACACACACACACACACACACACGTGTGTGTGTGTGTGTGTGTGTGTGTGTGTGTGTGTGTGTGCAGGCAAAACCCCCCATACATGTAAAATAAAAATAAAAATAAAAATAAGGAGGTTCAAAGGATGGCCCTGTGATTAAAAGCACTTGCTGCTCTTGCATAGGACCTGGGCTCGGTTCACAGCACTCACATGGTGGTTTACAAACATCTGTAACTCCAGTTCCAGGGAATCTGATACCCACTTCTAACCTCTTTGGGTACCAGGCACAAATTTCGTGATTGTGATATACATCCATACTTCTAGGGAAACACTTGATATACATAAAAAGTATAGAATAATAAAATAAAAATATTAAAATAACATGTTGGCCGTGGGTATGGCTCAACATCAGAGTGCTTGCATGCTGAGTTTGGTCCCCAGCACCACACACACACACACACACACACACACACACACACACACACACACAGAGTCAGAATGCATTTTTTTTTCGATCTATGTGGAATTTTGAAGGCAAGTTCTGAATATTGTTTGGATCTTTTTTTTTTTTTTTTCCTTTTTCGAGACAGGATTTCTCTGCATAGCTTTGGAGCCTATCCTGGGACTCACTCTATAGACTAGGCTGGCTTCAAACTCACAGAGATCCACCTGCCTCTGCCTCCTAAGTGCTGGGATTAAAGGTGTGCGCCACCGCCACCCAGCGCCATTAGGTATTTCTTTTAGCCTAGATACAGAAAACACTCTGCAACTTTCTGTCTTTGAGCTTAGGGGACCCACTCCCGTGAAAAGGTCATGAGAAAAGGACCCCACAGGATCAATGAGGGAAGTTCTGGAAAGAACTGAGCATCTGACAGGCTACAGGGGCTGATGGAAGGCAGCCCCTGATGGAAGGGGCTGCCTCTTCTGCCCTTGGAATCCCACACTGCCTGCTCACTAATCCAACTGTTTCGACAAAAATGATTTTTCCTCCAGGATCGCTCATACATACACTCATCAAAGCCACAGTCAGTCCCTTGAGGCTCAGCTCCAAAGTGGTTCCCATAGAAAAACCTCAAAGGCCCTGGGTCACCACAAACCATTTGCAATACTGGCTCAGAGTCCTCACCCATGTCTCTGTCCCACCCTAGTTCAGCTCTCTCAGCTGTGGCCTCTAGGAAGGTCTATCTATGGTTAAAGAGACTTAGTCTCACCGTCCAGCATCCACCATATTGTATTCACCAAGTGCCCACCCTTGTGAGCAAGCTACAGATGATGTTCTATCCCCCTATGTGTGTGGTTCGGCAGCACACTGGCTGGTAAGGGACAGCTCCTTCTGAGACAGCAGAGGGCGCTCCTAGAAACCCCCTGATCCCCGGACAAGAAGGAAACCACAGGCGATGCGAGCACTCCCAGTCAGAGGGACAAAATACAGGTGTGTTGTGGACCGCACAGCCCTCCAAAGCCAGACTGCTAGTCAGAGAGCAAGAAAGAAACACCTGCAAAGCAGAGGCTGAGGCAAGCGGGTAGCAAGTCCAAGGGCAGACTGAACTAGAGAGTGAATTCCAGGCCCAAGAGAGAAGGTAGGCAGGAAGGAAAGGGGAAAGGGAAGTGGTGAGCCAGGGAAGGAGGAATACAGATGGGGGGGGGGGGGACGAGGGATGGAAGAGAGAATCCCAGAGGTTCTGGTGGAGTAGAAAACCCCTCTACTGCAATGGTCCACACCAAGGGACAAGCCATCTCCAGGCTCCATGGAGGCTGCTATTCTGCCTAGTGATGAGATCCAGAAAAGGGCAGGCAGGGCCTTTGCTAGCTTGGTGGTTGCATATAAAGTCTGAGCACACCTGGCACAGGGTCCTTGGAGAGCTAGGGATCCCTCAAACCTCTCCCTGTCCCCCAACCTGGGGAACCAAAGTACTCTGGCTCCCCTCCTCTCTGTTCTCTCCTCCCTCTGGCTGGTTGTGTAGGGGCCAACCCTACCGCAGGGAGTCGAAAAAGAGTCTCTCCCTGCACTGCCCTGGATGCCCCCAGCCCCAAAGCAACTCCCACCTGCCCTGGCTCGCTTTGCTCCACTGTCCTGAAGGCGCAGCAGGACAGAGGCCCCACTGCAAGCCCTGGTAGCGGCAGAGCTCAGTTCTCACATGGGCTCTCCGTTCTGGCTCCTCCTGCACCAGCAGGAGGGTGGGGTGCTGGCCCTTTGGTGCCCACCACCCACAGGTAGAATACAGGTGGCCTCTTAGAGAAGATGGAAGGAACTAAGAGACCAGAGAAACCTTTGTAGGCAGAGAGATAGAGCAGGAGAGCGGCCTGAGGTATCAGAACCCACATGCCTCATTCCTTGGAATCTGAAGAAAGTTCTGTGGAGAACAAGGATGCACCCTGCTGGTGGGTGCTCAGGGTCACCCTCCTTTGTGTGTGTGGAGAGCCAGCAGCCTCTGGAGTGCTGCTCACCAATGCTCTAACCCAGACCACAGCACCGGGAAGGTGAAGGAGCTGGGGAGGCTTCCTGCTGGGCTCAGGCTCCTACATCATCGATAGTCCAGGTTCTCCCAGCAATTTGATAACTGGGTGGGATTTTCACTTTGAGAGAGAGAGAGAGAGAGAGAGAGAGAGAGAGAGAGAGAGAGAGAGAGAGAGAAGGACAGTCCAAAGTACTGATGAGCCAGCTCTCCTCGATGCCTGCCTCATTCCAGAGTGCATCCCTCCTTCTTAGGTCCAGTAGTGACACAGACTAGGAAGGGTGGACAAAAGGCCTCACAATGGTGGTGCAGAAGAAAAAGGATGTTTCTCACTCCAAACTTGGGGTCTCCTGACGCCGTCTCCAGGTGACTCCTGGAGCCAGGGTCTATAAACCATGGATGGCATCCTCTACATCATGAGCTTCCTTTACTGATGGTAACCAAATACGGACATGAGATGGGCGGAGGCAGGCTCCAGGAAGCAGCCTGACTGCGTTTCTTCCTCAGTCTATACTAAACTTACAGAAACAGCTGGCCAGCTCCTGCTTTGAGAAGCAGCCCTGCTCAGGGTTCCCCCACCACACACCACCTCCACCAGAGACCACTTTATGCTCCCACCCCCAAGCCACCAGGTGAGTCATAACTCAAGACCAAGGACTCTAGAGATGGACAGTGCACCATGAACAAGCCTGAAACTTGCTCTGCCTTGGTGGCTCTTTCTTCAATCAAAAATGCCGCAAAAATTCCTGCTGAGCTTCCCTTGCAGCCTCCAGAGCTGAGGACCACTCCCTGGTGGGAGGTGTCTCGTACCTGTTATGCCTTTAGGTGCCCCAGGGAGAAGCTGGGGCGCATCCAAACTTGTACCTTATCCTCAAATTACAAAACTCCCTAGGGTCTTTCCCTGGGGTACAAAATTCTGCAAATGGTCTCAGTCAGGAGGAATCAGTGTTGTGACTTTGGAAAATTCTCTTTGCCTGTCCAATCAGCAAAATAATGAGATTTGCCGAAATGGTCAGTTTGGTTTTGTTGTTGTTGTTGTTGGTGGTGGTTTGTTTGTTTTTTCCTGAATAGACTGCTACTGCCTTGAACAGAACTAGAACTATTGCCTTGAGCAGAACTAGAAGCAGTTCCAGAGCCTGAGCCCAAGAACTGCCAATTCCCTCCAATGGGCTTCTGTGTTCTCTTCTCTGGTTGGATACAAGGGAGAGAGCAGAGGGATCAGTTCTTGTGCTCAGAGTCCCTAACTGCTGCCTGTCCAGAGGGTCTGCAGTGGTCCCTGCTCCGGGCAGGGGTGTGGCTACAGACAGACTCCTGAAGCAAGGTGATGGACCAGAGGAACTTCCACGCTGCCAAGAGCAAGAGACAGGATGTGGCAGAATATTTAAAAAAAAAAAAAAAAAGCGCTGGAGTTGGGGCTGTGTGTCTTTCTTGCCCTGAGCTCAGGGAGCCCAGAGCTGGCGATCCAGGGCCTGGCACAGTGATTGCGATGAGTTGAGATCCAGGAAGAACCAGAACCAAGCCGGAGGACTACGCAGTGGTGCAATTCCCAGCTGGCACAGCGCGGCCCTGGAAGGCTACTAACCCCATGCACAAGAACACCCCATGCACACCTGGGCAGATCTAACACCCTGTGCACCCCGGCGCGCGTTGTACACTGGCCCATACCTGCAGTGCCCCAGCACCCCGCGCGCACCCCAGCTCCCCTCCATGAACACCGACATACTCGGGCACGCTGCACACACCTTCAACACCTCAGTCCCGGGCGCGTTATCATTCACCCTAGCACCCAGCGCACCCACGGCCGCGGGAGGGGCCAGCGCCGCGAGGCTCCAAACCCCCAGGGCCCCGCCCGCCCCC